GTGAGCACCAACCAAGGAGGCTTTTGCCCGTACCGCATCATCAGCTGGGCTTAAACCAATACCCCCGCCCGATCAGCCAGCTCGTTCAGAGTAATTTTATTCAACACTGCAAAACATTAGCCAAATTTCAAATCAGTGTCAGGGGGGAGGCTTTGCACCCATCGTTCCGCCTTTAACACGGCAACAGATCATAGTGCTGGATGAGTAACATTTGTGAAGGTTTTGCGACGAGTATACAACTCTCCTTCATCTGAAGCTATGTATTATCCTTAAAGACAGTTCATAAAACATGAAGGCGAATCCTGAGCTGCATGCGGCTTTCAGCTGCGATGGCCACAATCCTTTGAACAGTCCTGCAAAACCAACTTCGAAGAAGCTCGCTCGAAAACCGTTGGAAAGAAAACGCAAAACAGAGATGCTGCCTGCAACTCACCCCGAATCGTCTCTTCTTTTACGATGATCATTATTGTCGAACACATCGAACGCCACGGCACTTGACGAAAATAATCAAAGCCACGCACCTGAAGCGAATGTTCCAAGAGATGATGCAAAAGCCCTTGCGCGTAAACTTATCTTACAACAGCCTCCTTGTAACATTTTTTTTTTTTTTGAACATCTATTTTGAAATAGTTTGGCGTGCGCCACACTGACTTCACGGGTGGAGTAAGCACACCTCACTGCTCAGCTCATTTCAAAATATCTACTGATTATGCACCGATGGGCAAAGTACGATTCAAAATCCTAATTTGCCCATATAAGAGGGCAATTTCAAAAGAGGAGAACCAGAACTACTACGAGTGATGGACGAGCAGTCACACTGCGGTCGCTGGATGAAAACACATTCGATCTCATAAATGCTACAAACCTTTGAATGTATTACCCTCGGAGTGGAAAAAGGTAAAAGTGTAAGCCGAGATTTGGGCATCAAAAGCAAGAGATAGCTTTCAGCATAGCAAAACTGCCCATGTTTTGTTTCAAAAATTAGGAGACCTGAATGCGCATCAGATGGTGGACGTGATTACATTTGGCTATTAGCTGTCGCGGACGAGCAGCCCACTCGACTCGCCAGACGCAAAAATCCCGCTTCACGACTGGCATCCTTCTGTACTCCTAATACGTTTTGCAAGCGCGGAAACAGGTCGAATAAATAACGGAGCGTACCCAGGGTAGCCAAAAAGATCATGCGTTTTGCGCAGTTCCGTCCAGCAGACGTTTGCCTGCCAAAAATACAACTGTTTTACGCTTTCGTGTGTGAAAAAAGTCAATATGCTGTCTGGCTCCTAAGCTGGGGAATTTCCTACCAAAAATTCTACGTGCCAGCACATGAAAGCTGAGTCTGAAAGTCTGGATGAGGGACATACTCACAAATTTCAAACCCCCAGTTTTCCGGCTTCCCAGCTAGTAACTTCCGCACCAAAACTTCCATGCGGTGGTGCGTAAGACCTTGGCATACCTGGGAGCTAGATTTGAGCTTATAAGATATCTGCATAGGCAGAAAAATTCCTCCTGAAATTTTTGCCTCATGGCTCTTTTGCTTCTCTACGCAGGGACGTGCAAGGGACCCAGGCATACATGAAAGCAGAATTTATTTCTGCGAGGTCCCATTCTCACAAAATTTCAGCTTCCTATCTTTTATGACTTCCAGGACAGTAATTTTTTCCACCCAAACTTTCGTGGAGGCATAATTGAGACCCAGGCTTGACAGAAAGCTGATCTTAAATTTAAGGGATCGTACGTGGGTAGGGAACATTCCCGTTAAATTTGAGCTTCCTTGCTTTCATGACTCCCGGGATAATTTTTCCGCCAAAACTTCCGGGGACTGTACGTGATGCCCAAGCGCACGGAGAAGCTGAATTTAAATTTGCGGGATCGTACTTGGGCAGGGAACACTCTACTAAAATTTCAGCCGTCTAGCTTTTTTATGCGTTTTTTTGCAGCTATTCAATGCGGAAAACGCAAACTGACGAGAGGTTGTCTATGTGTGTGTGTGTGTGTGTGTATGCGTGTGTGTGTTTGTGTGCAGGGCCTCTGTACCGATTTTTCATCTCGAGACAACAAAAGCTTCAGGGCTAAAACTTTGGGGACTTAATCTATATGCATGTATGAGCCCCATCCCCCAAAATGGGCGGCCCTACCCGCGTGGTACCCACGTAAGAGCCCGCCAAAATTTTTTTCGGGTAAGTTGATAACTCACGAACCAGAAAAACTAGAAAGCTGAAATTTTGAGGGGATGTCCCCCGTCCAAGTAGGTATTAATAAATTCAAACTCATCCCTCGGGTAGGCGTGGTACCAGCGTACGAGCCCGCCAAAATTTTTTTCGAGTAAGTTCATAATTGGGGAACCTGCGAAGCTGAAATCCTAGGGATGGCCCCCGCCCAAGTGGGTGTTAATGCACTGAAACCCATCCCCCGGGTAAGCGTGGTACCCGCGTACTGGCCCGCCAAAATTTTTTTCGGGTAAGTTCATAACTCGGGGATCTGAGAAGCTAGAACGCTGAAATCTTAGGGAGATGTTCCCTGTCCAAGTGGGTATTAAAGAGTTCAGACCCTGGCTGCGGATAAGCGTGGTACCTACGTACGGCCCCGTGAGAGTTTCTTCCAGCAAGTTGCTAACTCGAGAACGTGAGAAGCTAGAAGACTGGAATTTTGAAGGGGTGTTTCCTGACAGTTCTGGCGGCCAGTCTGAAATTCTTTTAGCTAGAAGTATCTGTCCGAAAAACCAGTGATGTTAGCGAAAAAAACCTGAGGGGAACTATGCAAAAAACGCATCCTCGCATGGGCAGCTCCTGCGTTGGCCAATTATTGGTTCCCGAGTTGAAAGTGCGGAGCAAAATGCACTAGGAGACATACACATATACATGTAAACACACACAGAGGCAACCCATGACAACATGCGTTTTGTGCTGCTGTTAAACAGCGCAAGACGCACAAAACAACGAAGTTTGAAAGCTTATTTCAATTTTTTCAGACCGACTTGTATGTTCAATTAAAATTCCAGAATTTCGAATTTGCTGGGTTTTCAAACTAAAATAAATAGCGAAGCGCACCAGGGTAGCCGGTGTAATCATGCGTTTTGCGCAGTTCCGTCCAGTGGACATTTGCTTACTAAAAATATAACGTATATGAAAAACAGGCGAGGAATTTGTCACTGAAAATTTCACGTGTCGGTACGTGAAAGCTGAATTTGAAAACAAGGATGGGGAACATCCCTCCAAATTTCAACCTTGCAGTTTTTCGGCTTTCGAGCTAGCGACTTCCACATCACAATTCTCAAGTGGTCTTACGTAACACCTCTGCATACTTGGGAGAAATATTTAAGTTTATGAGTTTCTGGGTTACACGTGGTCAAGGGGCATACCTATAAAATTCCACCTTCCTAGCTTCCGTGGTTCCCGACATACT